GAAAAGATGAATAGCCGATACGACGCGAGAGCCGCAGGAAATCGATTAGAAGTAGGTGACAACGTGTGGTTATAAAATCCTATTCGACAGAAAGTACGTTCCCTTAAACCGCAGCTACCCTGGGTCGATCCTTGCTATGTCCTAAACAGGCTGAACGGCCTAATAGTCCGTATCCGTACGCCTTCAAATTCTAGACCTAAAATTGTTTATTACGACAGGCTGGCCCCTTACGTTAGCGATAGTACGTTGTCCTGTGTTTTATATAAAGTATACTAAGACCATTTTCTTAAGTGTACGAAAATTTATTATTAGTTGAATGTTTTTTATTAGAATTTACGTTTCAGAATTGTATTTCCTTTTTGTTACTGATTTTTCTTAGTTGTAAGTATAGCTTCCTCTCCAGAGATTATACTGCCCGAGAAGTGGAGTTCTTGGAAAAGGGGAACTATTACGAATTTCGTATACATGTAAATTATTTTGGTGAAATTATATGTAAATTTTAGCACTGATGTAAATGGCTATCCTGCGAAATTGGCAAGATAGCGCCTAACCACTGATAGTTTTGGTGACTAACTTTTATAGCTTAATTTGGCTAGAAATCGTTAAAAGTCGCCATGCTTGGAAATTATTGTGCGGCATTTTGGTACCATTGCTACATAACTATAACTGTATGTGGCCCTATGTAACTGTAACTGGGTAATTTGGAGAAATCGAAGCCACTGGAAATTTCTCTAGCGGACGCGAAAACTACTATATAAGACTAAAGTAGGTTTCAGTTTCCGTTTTCGCTCAGTTGAGAGATAACCGTGCAAGCTTACACTTTCCAGGTTATTAACAAACTGAACTACATAAAAGCGATAGATACTGTTGTTAAAAATATCATTTTTTCACTTTTGAATCTGATTGATTTAAATAAAAATACAAAAAGTTCATGATATATTTAAATGAAAACCTTTAATATTCTTATATAGTTACATATATTTTCACTTTTTAATATGCAGAAGCTATATAACGCTACGATATTTGTGTAAATGCAGATTCATCTAATATCCTCTAAAATGTTTCTCTATTCTACCTGGGCCATCTTTGTCAAAAATATCTACTGATAAACCATATCAAACTTTAAAACAGCCTTTTCATATTTCTTCTTCTTCCTTTATTTATTTTTTTGTATGTATTTTTTAACATAAAATTATGCTAGTAGATAAAAATTCAAGATTTAGAAATATGTAATCATATATATAACACAGACTGAAACTTATATCCTATCGTAAAATTTCATTTTTATTATTCAGAACAAATAGCTATGTATGTATTACAGGTGCAAATTTTGATATGGTGCTAACATGCGTACTTTATTTATGACGCATATTTTTACTAAACAGTTCCGATTAAATGCTTAATTTTTTTAAACTATTCAATACTTGCATATTAACACAACCACTTTAGTAGAATTCGCCAAATTTTCAGTATGTGCCAAACCCTGGCAACCATGCGCATACCATTTTCTGGCAATCATCCTCATAACAATCCTTCAGTCAAGCAACGCCGCCATTTTCGTACGAGTTCCTTTTCGTTGTATTAAAATTTCCAGAGGTTTTCCTAAACAAATTGTGATATTTTGTGTTTAAACGTAGTGCTAAAATATGAATTTCTTCCATTGTTGACGAACTCGTAACTGTAGAATTCGCTAGCAACGGAAGAAACTGCGGTAAAATTTGTGCAAGAATACACAATTTTAATGAAAAGTTTGGCTAATCTTTGGAATATGGTAACAGGTAGTTTGGTGACATTTTGGTAAGGCGATAAAGGTTACTAGCTAGGACTTTAGCAGTGTACATGGATAAAGTCAAGAGTGTCCGCAATGCCATTTTTGTGCAATTCTGGGGTGTGTTTTAAAGTGAATATAGGTCGACGTGTACATGGATACCGTGTATGTGCAATTCTTAAAAACGCGGCAAGCAGTGGGCGATTCTGCACTTTCTCCCAATTTCGCACTTAATTTCCGTCATGATTAAGCACTTTTGTTCCATAAAAGTTCTAGCATAAGCGTAATTCGGCTAGCAGATTGTTGAAAAAAAAATGTTGAGTAAAAAAAAAAAAAAAAAAAAAAAAACCCATGCCTTTACTTCGTGAAAACAAAATGGCATCCAAAAAGAAAACTAGTAGGTTGCTGTAGCAGGGTTGGTCGCCAAATTTTCGCCAAAAACTCGCCAAGTTACCATAATCCGAAGATTAACCAAAAGTTTCTAAAGGGAACAACGCGAAAAGCGTTTCTTCGATAGCCCCTGTAGCCGGGGACTGCACGAAGCCGAAATCTCTGTAAATCCCTGATGTTTGTGTAAGCGAAAACAGATCGCTCTGTGTTTCGGGAAAAGCAAAGCGCAAAACATTGCAGAACGATTAGAAGAATGTAAGTGCTTTACATTATGTATCACGTGATCCTTATTTAATACTTCAAATTGATAAAATATGTTTTCTTTTTATATGTTCATAATGTTTACCAGCTTATGATAAATATTGACAGCTGAGAAATCTTTGGAAAAAAAACAAAAAGAAACACGGAAACCACCAACTTTAAGTAACTTTTACCTTTTAAACTAAAAAAAAATTCGCCAAATTGAGCCAAGGTAGTTTAATTTATAGTACGAATTATTCTTTCTGTTACAACAGTACTGCTTCATAAGATCGAGACAAAATGAAAGGTATTAGGGCACAGCGGTTAATATCAACATTCCGTTTTGAAAGGATGCGAAAACTGCCAAGGGAAAACCATAACCCTTTTTTTCGAGGTATTGGTAATAAATAAACAAATGTATTATATCAGCGACATTCTAAAATGTTCACCTTATCGAATATGTCGCGTTAAGGAAATCTGAGCCATCTACGAAAGTTGATGCTCATAAATTTCTGCAAAGAATTCCATCTAAGTCATCGAAAAATTTGAATAATAGGATTTCGAGAGATGAGAATTATACTGCATTAATTGGCGATAACGAAACAGAAGATGATTTATCCACAGAGAGGTGATGCAAATTACTGTTATTTTCACTTTATTTCTGCGCGGAAATTACAAAAAAATTCAATTCCAACCGAGCAAGTAAGGATTAAGAAGTGGTTTAATGAGTCTTCTCGTTCAGGTTGTCGTTTCCTACTTGCATTAATTATTTTTTTAATACAGGAAGAGCGAGAAATTAGTTTTCTCGCTTGATTACTTTTGTCTGCACTACAATCACGGAGAAGGTCAAATGAGTCCGATTTGTGGCTCGAAAATGGTATTTTTTCCTTTGAATCCATTTTCATTCTCTCAGCCGTAAAATTAAAGATACATACATGTTTAAGACATAATAAACATTTATAGCATGATTGACCAAATTACAGCTGTCTGGCACTCTTAGAAAGTGTTCTCACTCTGGTATAACTACACAAGTGTCTTATTTCATTACTTATTTCATACAGAATTTCATTACTGGGCAACGAGATCATAAGGTATTTGATGGAGTATAATGTCGTAGTTGTTGCTGTATTGTCCATGCAATTTCATGGAAGAATGATTGCCAGAGCCTCAAGGAAGTTGGTCATCTAATTTACACCCCAGCTTTGAGGGAAAGTACCCAGGAAGGGGGTCCGGAGGTCTTTCACCCTTCTTCCTTACCACTAAACCACACGAAAGGACTTTCGGCTCACCATTTATAGTGCCCCCATGCCATAGAGTGCCCCCATGCTGCAAAGACACTATACTTTTACAATTATCTATGCCTTCTCTGACATTCGAACCCAGGCCCTTCGGTACCGCAGTAGCCTCCGCTAACGTCTGAGCGGTAAGTATAAAGTTAGTAAGAAAAATAGCATTTCTGTACGATACAGTATGAAGGAATCCAAAGTAAAAATTAGTATCAATAAGTATAAAATTTATTGATAATTGTAATTTACTTGAAACCGAGTTTAGCTTCCTTAAATAGTGGATATATTACTAGAGTTTACATTAAAATCGTTATGAAGAACCAAATTTCGAAAACCAAATTTCGATTTCTGGTATTCCCGAAAAGGTAGCTTATCGGGAAATCTCGAAATATCAAACGGGTGGTGGTTGTTAGTTAGTTGTTATTCAGCTGTGAGATATAGAATTAGCTGAATTGCCATTCACAGTTTTTAATCGGTAAGTAATTTTGGCAATTTACGATAACTCGCGGGTCCTAAGGAAGAATTATTTAATATCCACCACATTCTCTTGAGATATTTGCAGTTATTTATTATGCTGAGTGTAGTTAATTTTCAGAATAATTTATTAACGTTTACCTCTTTATCGGGAAGCATCATATTAACAAACCTGAAAATTTACTTTTTAAATTTAAAATAATTATATAATATATAATTAACATAACGTAAATACTTGATGCATTGAACGCATTTTTCTGATTGAAAGTGTATGTGTACCTCCAACTTTTGTTAAATACAAGGCCGTATAAGCAGTGCTGTTGACACGTGCATAAGTACTCAGGTTTTTCATTGTATATAAGTATACATATTTCAGTTTCGAAGGGACTAAAAATTTAAAAACAATTAGAGAATGAAACATTAAAAAATTGCAGGATTATACTGGATCTTTACGTGTAGCTTTATCAAAAAATTTGTCTGAATCTTCAGCATAAGATTAAATTGCGCTCTTACCAATGTGATTTCCATCAAATAAAATTCAACACAACTAAAATTTGACTGTTTACTTTGCCTAGAGCGTATGTATGCTGATGAGTATATTTGTCTGTTTTGTTATTTCTCGTGATTTAAGGAGGAGTAATACAGGATTTTTAGTATGTTTTCACCTTAACATAAACAAAATAAGAGTCGCAATGAACCCATTTTATATCTAAAAATTACTGGAATTTCTTAAAAACCACGTAATGGTTTTAACATTTTGTACTTTTGTACCTATATCCCGACGGTTCAGAATTTCAATGTGGTGTAAAACATTTTATTAAATTAATACACAAATCTAAAATAATATTTTTAATATCAACAATTATTGCCAGCAAACACAAAAGACTTTAAAACATTTTATCCGTTACCCTAAGAGTCATAAGAAGTGAATAATTTAAAGCAATGAATCAAAAATTATATTTAAAATTTCAAATTTAACTCCTTCTGATCAAACCACAGAATAATCATAGCAAAGTAGTTTTAACTTGCGGTCGCGCTGGAATATTCTAGGCAGAAGCATTCCACAGGCTTATCGAAGAGAAAGTGTAAAATGTAAAATTAAACGAAAATATAAACATAGTGTAGCATGTATTTTAAATGAATTATTTGGTTCTGCAGATATATGCCTGAAAGAAAAGAGGCCTTCTCTGAAGACTTTTTTCTGCTAAAAAAACTTCTATTTACGTTACACATAAGATAACTATGAGAAAAAGAATGCAGTCAGATATATTGATCGCACAAGCACTCTTTTACAGGATCGGATCAGAACGGTTTGCTAATTGAAATGAATCGGGTTCATTTTATGACTCACGTCTCTAAGAATAACCTTGATGAAACAAATCCGGAACGACTGGTGAATCAAGAGCGGTTTGCGAGATGGAGCAAACGGTGGAAAGAATCGAACAAACAGTGGGATCCAATAATTTCCCTGCTAGCGATGTGGACTGCTAACGAGGATTAACAAGACTAGAGCAAAGAGTATGGGTAGAGAATGGAAGAAAAGGGAGATCAGAAGAACTGACTGAAACGCTAACTCTTTGAACTTCTTTCAACCTTAGTTTTGAAGATTTCCTAAACCTCCTTACACAGAACTAACAATAAAATATTTCAAAGAGTTAGAAAGAGATAAAAATTGAACTCGCATTTAACACGAATAAACATTCTTTCTGTCCTCTAAAATGGAAAGTGAACTTTCCTGGCACGCTTTCAATAACAGCTCCGTTTTTTTTTTCCCAGTCAGGCATAAGCTCGTCCAGTAAAGCTCTGCGTGGACTGTAATAAGCTGGAACTCCGTTTCGTCGAATCGGAGTAAATTCGCGCAGTAAAGTGAATGGGTTTTTTGAATGAGCTCCAGAGCGAATCGTCCAACGCGAGTAAGCTATTTCTCTGGGATTTGAACTCAGGTTGAACTAGTAGTATCACCTGGCCGATGCTGCGGCAAACTGATGCAAATAATAATAAGGGGTGCTAAAAGTTTGAGAATATTGTTTAATGCTACATTGAAATCAAGATTATTAACCAAAGTATGCAAATTTAAAAAGCTGAAGAATGAATTGGATTATTTGATTAGGGCAAAGCAAACTGTGGCTACTTGCCTAAATGGAGATATGACTTCGTAAAGGACTTCTCAAGAAAAACTGGCTCATATGCAAGTTATGCGTCAGAAAAATCACAAACTCATATAGTCAACCCACTCACGAAGATCTGAAACTAAGGTTTCAATTTTTGTTCAAGTTCAATGCTCAGCAGTCTTAATCATTCAGCAGCTGTTACTGAGCTTCTCCAACTGACCAACTGAAAACATTTTGTAGGTGATTTCGGGATACGTTTAACCAGTCTAAAGTTGTATCTATATGTATTGAAAAATTAAATCATATTTAAACCCAGTCCGTATTCACACTACACTAAAGAGTTGGAAAACTAAAAAATAAAAATAAAATTGTGTGTATATGTATTAAGCCACTGTGAAAAAATAAACGTGCCCAGCATTGAGATCAATAGTGTATAAATGCATAAAAATAATGCAAAAAGTATTGCAAAATGTATACAGTGTAAGATGTATAATGCAAAAGTTAATGAAAACATATAAAAATCATAAAGAATGTGCAAATAATCAATAATTTACATCTCTCAGACATCGTCGTCGGGGGTTCGTGTATCGGCAGAAGTAAATGAATCAGCTTGTTTTTGAACAATGACACAAATTTAATAAATTTTAAATTTTACTAAATAACAAAATAATTTTTTGTCTCAATTATCATAGAAATTTTTCATTTATATCATACTTATTATTATATACATATAATCAAAAGTTGAGAAATTTCCAATTATGGTGATATATATTATTAAATTTGCTCAGTAAGCTGCAGAATTAATTGAATAATCAAGAGGTAATAATTAAATTAAAATAAATTCATGAAAGGACTTACTTTCTAACAGGAAAGGCACAAATCAAAATTAAAGTAAAAGCAATACAAAGCTGAAATAAAAGGAATAAAAAATTAATAAAACATAATAAATTGGTATAAAAAATATAACCGTTGAAAACTCCTTGGTTCTATTCAAGCAGCCGAAGAATTTTCAACAGAACTGTTTTTATGAATTAGAGCTAGAGGACTGTCAATTTTTGGAACATTTGAAAATAAATTTAGTACATTCAATGCCAAATAACATTATTTAATTAAAACAAAGGCTTTAAAAATGGAACAAAGTAACATTTTTTTAATAAATGTTTTTGATTTAATTAATCATCACGATATAATCTGCCCCAACTTGACTCTTAAATAAGTATTAAAAGAAGAATATCGAGTAAGAAATGAAAAAAATGTTCAATATGCAGAAAATAAATTCTAACCGAAGAATAAGGAGAAGTGCTTAAAGTTTCGTAAACCGGAAGCCTATGGAAGCATTTAAAAAACCCTAGAGCCCTTTACACTTTTAAAGCACTTTGATTATTTTAATTAAATAGTTTCAATTGCCACTTAATTTATAATTTTACTTTTTATTATGAAACATTTCAAAAATTAAAAATCATCTAGGTGTAGTTCAGAAATGTGTTTGTTTATAATTATTCGGCTGCTCTTTGAAAAAGACCGAGGAATCTTCGACAACTATATTTTTATACCAATTTATTAAATTTAGTTAATTTTACAATTGCTTTTAATTCAATATTTATTAATTTTGTTTTGATTTTAATTTGTACGTTTCCTGTTGGAAAGTGGTTTATTTTCATGATTTTATTATTAGCACTTGATTATCACATGCATACACATATATACTATATATAACTTTTGGCAATCGATAATCATTTTGACAGGGAATGTAGGAATGTAAATAAATATCTAATACCTTTAACATGCCCATAATTTAAATAAATTCATTCGAAGAAATTTTATATTTTTAAAGCAATAACAGACTGTACCAACGAGAAACGCGACCAGAAAGAGTTAAATACATATATGCACTCACAGAAACATGAATCTAACACGAATTCTACTATAATGAACTGAAATTTACAACAGAGATTTAACAACATTTGACAACTGAAAATTTATTTTTATATGAAAGAATTTACAGCTTAAGCTCAGTACTAAGAGTATTAACCCTTTAGAGTTTTGAAGAGCTGGACCGAAATAGCTTTCTGACAGCTCTTTATTTCAGAAATAAAATTTGACGTAATAAACTCCGAATGTAGAGGAAAATACTTTAATTGCAAGAACAGTTCTGATAGTGATATTATTCCAGAACATAGAGGTATCCCGAGTTTTACGTCACTTCGCTTTTACAGAAGATCCACACTACTAGTACACTAGTACACTACTAGTACACTAGTACACTAGTACCTTTGTCGGTTTACCAAAGAAATCCTGAAACGGTTTTCTCTTTAATGAAAACTAAAAGAAAAGGAAAAACCTAAAGTAGGGCTCAGAGTTTGTTTTATGAAAAATTAAAAATAATATAGCAGTACTTTTCGCTAATGAAACACCAGTTGTTAAATGTGCGCTAAATGTGGGAGGCTATTTATACCTTTTCATGAGCATCTGTGCAATGATAATATCTATAATGTTTAATGTGCGCAATTACTATGCTCCATGCAGGATTTATAAGCGAAGCCGAAACTGTGCGCAATGCCGAATTCATCCAAGATGCCTAATTTGTGCAGTTCTCTGATTTTTTTAAGCAAAAAAAATAAATAAATAAATAAATAAATCGTTGTCTACATAATGAAAACAACCCTTTCGTTCTCCCCATCTATTCAACGATCTGTTTTAGCTTAAAGAAACATCAGAGAATTTCACAAGATAACATCACACATGGACTTAAACATTATATATATTACATTAATTATATATATATATATATAAATACTTATTATTTTCATGAAGCTGTATGTGTCATTAGGGTTTCTCCAATCTAGCCAAAATTTATAATTAATAAATTAAATTCAGTAAATTTCTCGCCAAACCTCCTGTTTGGTGCTAAGTGGTGTCTTATTAGCAGAAAAATATTGCTATTGCATACAGTTTTACAACATATTTCGACTAAGATCTGTATGGTAGGGAAAGATATGTAAGTGATACAAGTATACGACCCAGCTTCTGACCTTTCATGTTAACTTATCAAATTTTATCTTTTAACTTCCTGCCTTCCTGGCGTACAATCTATACACACAGTGGTCTGATGCAATCAAGTGACGATAAGCAAGTAAACGTTTATCATTTTCTTCTCTTTCCTACACCGATGATTCTCCCACTATCCAATCTCCAACAAATCGATGCTTTATGATCACTGCGACCATCTACACGGTTTCCAATTCACTTCTGCTTGCTTATGTTATGTCTACTTATATGGTCTGTTTATTTGTGATGTTAATATTTTACTGCTATTTTAGACTTTAAAAGACGCATGGTATGATATGATAGCCTTACAGAAGATTTGGGAAAGCGCAAAGATTTTTTCGTATAAATTATTGCTAATTCACTTTACGCAATTTACACTTATAAAAGATTTCATACGAAGACTTTGCTTTCGTAAGGCGAGGGACACCTATATTTGTTTCTATCTTGCTCTATTATCAGCAGTTTTGATTGCTGATAACATCCAAAAAGTAAGACTGTTCTGGAACTGAACTGGACTAGATTGGATTTCTTAACTTAGGCAAAAATATATATGATTCTAATTACACGCCGGCTATCTACTTGATCCCCAACGTGGTTCTGAATGAGAACATTCAAGGTAGTACCTTACCTTTAGAAAATAGCTCAAACTGTTAGACTTGTTTGGGCATTATGTTAATCAACCAACGAACAGGGCAACTCCAAGTCCCCAAGGAAATAGTGAATTATAAAAATCGCTAAGAGCTTATAATTTTTATACTTTTGTATATCTGTATTAATACATAATCGCTGCATATGTACAAAATATTAATCGGATAGTTTCTGAAGATTCCAATAATTTTACAAAATATATACTCACCTAACGCCCTTACTTTAAATTTACAAAAGAACTGATGTTTTTTAATTCCATAACAATGATAATTTACGGTTAAGAATGTCCCAACACTAATGAAACATACATTATTATTACTGTTCAGCTTTACATATTTTAATACACTGAAATCTTGCATCTCCTTATGTTTTCCTGACATGCATTTTAATCTTCCTCGGCATCTCTTTGCAAACAGAAATTTAACTTTTTGATAGCTTTAGATGAAATATGCTTGAAAGATATATAGATAAATAATTTATAAATGTTTTCAATGAAGTTCTTTCAGTGAATTTCTTATTTATCATGTCATAAATAAGCAATATACAGAGATTTCGGGACGGTTCTTTAGCACTGTGTACAAGGACACAATTGAGACTTTCCTTCGATCACAAAAACTAAGAAGGAGATGCAGAATTTCCGGCATATAATTCATTAAATAAATCACAGTACTAGAAAGAAATGCCTTTATCTTTTGCTTTTATCCTTTTCTACTTAAAACTGGCACTGTTCTGAAACTGATCAAAATGGCGCAGTTTTCTCTAGAGATATTCAGCTTAAATACCACTGTTTCGTCCGTTGCTCACATGTACTACATTATAACAATTATATATTTATCTCATATATGTCACATAATATCTCACATAATTATATATTTTCATTAACCAAGTACTCTATAAACGTTATGCTGTGCCTTACGGCTTGATAAAACATGCATTATTCCATCATTTAAAATGATTTATACAAAGGGCTCTATTTTATCTTCAGTTATTCTGCAAGAAGAACACCGTTTTATCATCAGATACTCAACAAAAAATTACCCACTTTATTCGACAGATTATTTGCAAGAGGATCACTGCTCCGTCAAGAGGTTTAGCAGCAAACATGGCGCTGCTGAACAGCTTTTGTAAGAATAATAATTTTCTTTCCACGGGTAGTTAGAAAATGTGATACTATTCTTTCCAAAGATACGTAGCAAAGGCGACACTATTCCGTCGACTTTCTGTGAAAGTATCTTTCCTGTCGTTATACGAAAGGAGTTCCTCAGAAGACAAACAAGAACCAATATTTTGGATGATTCCATTTTAAGTACATTCCTCTACAGCAGACTCTCATTCAGAAGTTGCCGATCCGCAGACATAGCCCAGTCATCTTTGTCGTGAGCCGCATTTTGTAAGGTTAGGGGCAAGTCACCGTTTTTCCAGTTTTCCTTTCTTTCTGAAAATGCAAGAAAAAGTTTACTGTAGTTTATCTCATCACAACTGTAGCTGATTTATAAAATAAATATGTAGGAAATTGAAAATGAAGTTACCACTATTGATATCACCTGATAGAACAGACCAACGAGAATAGTGCATATACAGAAAAACTCATACCTATACCATATTATGGAAATTATTTGATTATAATAGCGTTATGGAATGCATAACAGGCCGAAAGCAAAATGGTGCGTTAACTGGTAATTTGCTTCAAACGTTGAAGTAAGAATATAAGTGGATTTCTATTGTATTAGTTGCACGGACTCATCTTGAAATAATGGAAGTACGTATGACAAATTAAATGTTACAAACAACCATGATCAAATGATGCCAGTATTTTGAAACTGAGCCTACAGATCTAACTGATACTGAATATCAATAAAGCCCATAAACTTCGATAACAGAAGACATAACGCTGAAAGTTGATGAAATGCTTCACGGAAGACTTAGCGTGAAAGTTGAAAAAGTGCACAGATGTTAATATCTATTAGATGGATAGCTATTTGCCTATTATGAAAGAGTGCAAACAGATATTTGTAACGATCAGATTTCCATCTTCGGAGAACTGAACGTATACGAACATTCAAAGAAGCGTTTATACAGAATAGTTGATTATGTTGAAATGTAGTGGTATTCGTTTATGACATATTGTACTTTAGCGTGCCACCCGATAAATTTTGCTTTATTAAAATAATCAAGTATAACTTACATTTAGAAACCCTTTCGTACTTGTAAAATCTTTTTACGTACTTTTTACGAAGTACTTTCGTACTTCGTAAAAACGAAGTACTTTCGTACTTCGTTTCGTACTTTTTTTACGAAGTACTTTCGTACTTCGTAAAAAATGCTTGAAGTCTGAAACTTCATATTAAAGTAGAATACTTCAGAAGGGATTTTCGCATTTAGTGCATAATAGTTTTGAAACCAGAAAGCAATTATTTTACCATTTTATTGCTAATTTATAAAATAAACATTTACTCTTAAATGAAACTAAAACTCAACAGATGAAAGATGAGAAGGTTGCTTCTGTACTTACGTTTTGAATGCAAAATTTTGTATATAAGCAAATGTCAAAATATTAAAAATTAACTACCTGAATGAAAGATTAAAAATTAGATTCCAGCTTCATAATTATGAAAGGAATCTACTAAGAACATTTTTAATGTAAAATTAAATCGAAAGGATGTGCTACCTGTCAAGGTTCTTGGTCACATGATGATAGTTAAATCGAATCAATAAGTATTTCATCGGTATCAGTTGCAGTAAATTCAGATAAGATATCTCAAATTTAAACAAAAGCATATTACTGCTGGTCAAGCCTGTTGGTCAGTGGAGATCTGCAGACTGACCATCATTTGCGACCAACCCAAGTGAAGAATATGAAGAATTTACGTATTGATTACAACATGGGAAAGAGGTACCAATTAAATTCACCAATTTTTTAATGCACATTACTCTTGCATTCAACCATATCAACCTTAAAGCCTGAATGTTGAATTTCAAATTCAGTTTTTATATAATATGTATGTTGCGCAAAATTTTAAAAAGTATATTAAAAAGTCAATGGTATCAATGTCACTTCCTACCTTATATTATTGTAATGTCACAATTATATTTGGTACGCATTATCACTACCTCACATTATAATAATTGATGCATGCATCTTTATGACTTTGTTTCTGTTGATTAGAGGGAACAATTCTCTTACATTCAGTGTTAGAGATTTTTCATTCTCTCTTCCACGGGACGGAAACATATAAGACAAAATATGTAAAAAATCATTTTAAATTATATGATTTTGGACCAAATGTACTAAAAAGGGAAAACAACTTATTTCATATCTCCCAAAGTTGATGTACGAGACTAAAATTAAAACCATGCATACATTAATGGATTTTCAAGGAAAAGGAAAAGTAACAGCAACGAAATGACATGCACAAGAATAGTTATAAGCCATTTATTTAAAATTATTTTAATAATTTTGTTATCATGCACTTGACTATTAGCAACCCCATAATTTAAATTTTATTCATTAATATTTGACTATTAGCAACCCCATAATTTAAATTTTATTAATTAATATTTGACTATTAGCAACCCCATAATTTAAATTTTATTAATTAATATTTGACTATTAGCAACCCCATAATTTAAATTTTATTAATTAATATTTGACTATTAGCAACCCCATAATTTTAAGTAGGCGGAAGGTATTTCTCCCGCCTACTTAGCGTGCCTTCGAGGTGAGGTGGTCCGCACGCTGAGCGCGTATTCCAGAGTTCCGTGGTTCGATTCCCGGCGAAGGCGTTGCTCATTTTTCAACTTGCCTGCTTCCAAAATATACCTAATGTCTCTACAGTGGCGCCCGAACTAAAAGGGTGTCGGGTGATGATTATCACACGATTGGCGATTGGGTCCTCTAAAAACCCCAGTCGCCGTTTAAAAGTGGGAGTATATAAGGTATTTCTCCCGTCTTCTTAGCGTGCCTTCGTGGTGGGGTGGTCCACATGCTGGGCGCGTATTCCAGAGGTCCTTGGTTCGATTCTCAGGAGATTGCTTATTTTTCATCTCGCTTTCTTTCAAAAATTCTTAATGTTTCTACACACTAAGAGTTTTGTATCACCTAAAAACATATTTTTAAAAAAAATTTTAATGCAGCGCTTCTTAAACTTTTCTCATTCATGACCTTTTTATCATCGAGATATGTATATGAAAAGTTATTTTATTACTTGTTTCAAGCATATAAAATTGATGAAAGAAAAGTGCCTATTAATCAGACGGCTAGGCTTGTTCTTTTGCTGCATAATAAAATAAATCTTGGTGTAATATTTGACACTGATTGACGTAAAGCATCTTAAACGTTTTTCAGAATTGAATGAAATGTGGATTTAAAAAATGTTAAAGCTGAAAACATCGTTTCTCATTAAGTACGTAATGCTGAATGCTGAACAACATTTAATGTCATTTCAGAAGTTGTCCGAAATTCAGATCTAGCTCCTATCCAGAATTTAGTCAAAGATATTCAAATTTGAGTCACTCGATAGTTCAACTAATTCTTTTTGAGCTTTATATAGTAAGTGATTAAATTCGTTAGTATAAATTAATATAATTTCTTTAAAAGTTTTAGTGCTAAATTTCTTTAAATTCTTGTATATGAGTTAAATTTTGCGACATAAAATTTTCTTTGCGAGTCCGTTAGGGTTCACGACCCACAGCTTAAAAAACGCTGTTTTAACGCATCTAATTAAAGCAGCGTATTTTATAAAATGTTTTATACTTAAATTATTATATTGGCTATGCATGTAAAGTTAAAAAAATGCCATCTTGGCTTGGCGAGAATACGTACTTTCCGATGCTTACCTGGGGCCGTGTGAAGAGACTGCACGGAGGATCTTCCTTTGCTCAGGTAGGTGAGGGACTGTGTGATGAGAGAATGCTGAGGGTGTTGGCCATCTTTTTCTCTTAGTCGTTCGATGCCCTTCCTTACCTCACTCTGTACCTACCGATGAGAAAATCTAGTTTCACTTCTGCACGCGTTTAATTCCATTGGATCAGCTTAAGAAGTGGAATAAAACTATAAATCTTAGGAATAGTTTCTCGAAACTGAATTTACCATCATTTCTGTAGAATCCTCGCTTGTATTTTTCTGAAACAACGGTAAATTTGTTTTTGAATAAAAATTATCTCAGATTCTGCAGTGATCGTTTCTCCACTCATTGTTTTGAGTTTATAATTCATGTCAGTTTGGCGAAATACTGGAAATTTAATGTAGTGCTCCATCAATTGCAGTTTCGAAAGAATAACTAGGAAAAGTTTTTCTGTTTGACTCAACATTTTCCTTTAGATAAGAAGTAAATGGATTATCGCCATAATCGTGAAATACATAAGAACTTTTAGATTTGCTCTTGATTGCAATAGATCACAATTTACTGAGTACCTTCTTTAAAAAATGAGGCACGAAAAGGCATATTGTTATCTTCAAAATTACATAATAAAATGTAACATTTTCAATTAAAATTCTTAGCTTTTATTGCTGTTGTTGTTAACGTCACTCCTGATACGAGCCTATCTTGGACCTGATTTGGCTTAGGCTCGTCATGACTTTCGGCTTAGGCCCAAAGTCATGGGCATCTTACAAGGTGACAGTCGGTGTTTGCACAGCATAGTCCAAATTTTGATGGAGGAACACGGACAGATGAACAGAAAAATGTCCAATTCACTCTTCCACTACAAACGACATTTAAATTATTTTCACTCTATTTAATTAAAATCACCTGTATCGAAAATAGACTGTATATTTTCAACTACCTAAGCTTTTTCCGGAATTTCAACCCAGAACTAAAAATAAGGTATCCGGTACCTTAACAATCATATAATGGTCAATAAGGACGACTGTTGTGTTTTGTGTTAAATGTTTTGAATTTAAAAAAATCTATAGCCATCTTTATCTTTTTAGATAAAGATAGATATAGCTGTTCCCTCATTCTCTAGTTATATTTATGGTTGTAGATTTCTTTTAATTCAAAATATTGCACAGAATTCTGACAAATTCAGCTATTTTCATCATTAATAATAGATCTGTTTTAGATATTGAACATTTTACAGAAATAAATTTAAAAAAAAAAAAGTTTTCTTAATAAGGTAACATGCGATAAAAAATGTTTAAGAAAGATATCTGTGCCAGCGTTGCCTTATGAGCACTATTAAATTAAATGTGTTTGTTGTTATCTCCTATAACAGAGTTCTTGTTTTAAAGTAAGTATTGTCAGCAAAAAGTTTTTATAGTGCGTAACTCCTTTTTATTCTTTGTTTATTGAAATAAAAAAATTAAGAGATACAGTCGTATGCTTAAAAATATTTACCGTGGTCGATACGCAAGTATAGTTTATTTGATTATCGCATACCCCACAAGGGTAACATGCCAAAGAGGATGGATATCTTCGTGTAGGAATTTTAAGGAAAATTACCTCAGATCCACGTTACACATGAGGAAAATCCCAAAAATACTCATGGCAAAACTCCGTTAGCCACGATTCGAACCCAGGCAAAACTACTAGCAGTTAGCTTCTTTACCTCTTAGCCACGAGTATCCTATTCGATGCAATGACGAAAAACATTTTTCCCGCTGAATGTATCAAGTTGACTCAAATATCTTTCTAGAAAAATTATTTAGCGCGTGTTGTTTTATAACGAAAACGATTCAAAACTCTTTATTTAAGAAACAAACCCTTTGTTTGACAATTTTAATCACATGATTTTAGATTTAAATTCTTGTTGCCATTTTTTCGAAATATATATTTTCCTGTTGTCTGATTATTTTACCCGCCCTTAAATTGCAGCTGTTTTGGGTAAGAAAATGTATCAAAATCAGCACGCCGATTGGCCAGAAATCTTTAAAATAGCTGAACGTTGTTACTTCGATTCAGGTTCAGATTCCTTCGAAAGTATTATGTATACAGGGTGTTTCGTAGTTTCCCTGTGTGCAACACAAATATCAACCAGGGTTTTTTTCAAAACGCCGACTACGAAGGCATAACTTCCCTTAGGCAGATAGTCCTCATTTGCTTTGCGTAAACAAATAATCTACCATAACCTAACAAATTATGGTGATTTGATAATGAAGTTGATCTTAATTTAATTTAATTTGAGAACTAATCATTTTTTCGTAAAAGTGATACGTCTCTTCGATTTGTAAAACTTAATTAACATAAGAACATCTACATATTTTTTTCAATTTGACTGCCAATCTCCCTTTATACATCGTTACTACCTACATTGTTAATATATTAAGCATTCAAATAAGTGTTTAAAACATATTAGCATTTAGGAAGGGAATTAAAATTTAATAACTGCATTAACTACAAGGAGCATAAAAGTTAACATTTAGGTAGTTGGAAAAAGTTACATTTTAATACTATGGATAAAGGAAATAAATTTATCTTTAGCATAAATTACACAAGAAATAAGTTAATTGTGCTTTGAGTGTAACAGGAAATAAATTAACATTTATTAACTAACAGAAAATAAACTAACAGGAACTAACTTTATTTCCTGTGACTAAATAAATTTTAATTTATTTCCTGTTAGTCACAAGCGAAATCTTTTATTGAATTGTATTAAATCGTCTTTCCAAATATTCTTAGTTAGGATTTCTTTACACAAGAGAAAGATATGTGAAGAATTAATATATTATGAGCTCTACAGAGAACTCTGGGATAAAAAGCGAAACATATATAAAAAATTAGTTTTACCTCTCCATTTAAGAAACAATACAGGAATGCCACGAAAGAACCCTGAAAAAAATTAAACAAATATTAGTGACAAGCAAGTTCGTTTCCAAAGCACCTTTAAAAATATTTCATTCATTTCACAATCAGAATTTAGGTTATATATTATATTTTTTTCATATTACAACTGATTTACTATATGATAACTGATGGCTATTACTGTTATCTATTATAATGTATGTACTTGTTTGATTCAGTGTACCGGAAATAATGATCTGATTGCCTGAGATATGTATGATGGACTGCTGAAGATAGCGGAGCTGTTTCTGTGGCCTGGAACAACACAGCTTTATATTAGGAAAGGAGACTAGTAAGTGAGATTCATTATGTCCCAGTACCCTGGTGATTTATTATGACGGCGTGGTGTTCTGCTTACTTTTACCTCAACAAAAAAAATTAAATTTTTTTAAAAAATCTCTTCTCAAGGATAGATAGTTGAACTCAATTTAAGCTGTATTTGAATTGTTATCGCCATGTTTAGAATTGAGGCTCTATTTCAATGTTATAAAATTAAAAAAAAAACATAAAAATAAAATAAAATAAAATAAAAATAAATAAAAATCTTAAACTTTCAGATTTCATTACGCCCAGGAGTGGGGCTTTTTTAACGTTTTGAGATTACCTTTATTTATTAAATATCTTTCTTTGCACTTAACCATAATTCAATTCACAGCTTCGGAAAATAATTTTAAAATGAACATATATTAGACTATTCAGAAGTCAAAACACCAAAAATCAGCGTTATATTTTCAAAATTTTCACAGGACTAGTTTCGATGGTTTTACCGAACCACCATCCTCAGCTGCAAAACCGCAAATGAACAAGATAGGAAATAATGATTAGATAAGATAAGAAAGCCTGGACAAGAATAAGCAAGTGGCGCCATCTGTTTGTGAAACCAGAACTAAAACATAATTTCTTTAAAGGCCGACGGCAAATTTGGATTGGAATTAGGATCGTTAACTAGAACAGAAAGATTTTTATGATGTGAAACCTCTAAAAATCCAGTTCTCCAATGGAAGATGTTTTTGTAATTTTGGCAGCAAAAAATTGAGTGTGATTTTCGACAACAATGTGCAACGAAATTCTGTGTTTCCTTTTTTCTAACATTTGATTCCTACTCAAGGACCCATCCGGATATGAATTCCTGGGGTATTTATAGGATTCCTTGCCAGTGTGGTTTAATTTACATTGGCCAAACTAAGAGAGCCTTAAAATTTCGCGTCAAGGAACATGAGGCATATGTTAGAAAAAAGGAAACACAGAAGTCTTCTGTTGCTCAACATTGTTGGTCCGAAAATCACACTTTCAATTTTTCTGCTGCCAAAATTATTCAAAAAACATCTTCCATTGGAGAACTGGATTTTCTAGAGGCATTTCACATTCAAAAAATCTTTCTGTTCTAGTTAACGATCCTAATTCCAATCCAAATTTGCCTTCGGCCTTTTAAAGAAATTATGTTTTAGTTCTGGTTTCACCAACAGATGGGGCCACTTGCTTATTCTTGTCCAGGCTTTCTTATCTTATCTAATCATTATTTCCTATTTTGTTCATTTGCGGTTTTGCAGCTGAGGATGGTGGTTCGGTAAGACCATCGAAACTAGTCCTGTGAAAATTTTGTAAATATAACGCTGCTTTGTGTTGTTTGACTTCTGAATTAGTATTTATTCGGCGTGTTATTGAGTCTTAATTATATATTTAGAATTTCCGATACAGTCTTGCGCGCTGGAGTTTTGTTCCTCGTGCCATTCTCGCTTTAACGATGATTTGTTAATCAAAATTCGTTAAGTTTACAAAATTGAAATCGATAATAGATAATTCAAATAGGGCTTCCAGACATCCATATTCTGTGGAGAATTACGATATTCAAAATTTGTTGGCTCTAAGTACCGCTGTTTTATCACAATGCGAGAAACATCCATACATTTATGCAAATTCTTAAATGTAACACAGAGCTATAATATTTGGTGGCAACAATATGAAAAGTTAAACGGATATTTAAAAGTTTTCGACGCAAAATGATAAAACGAAATTAATAGCCCTTCTGGGCTAACTTCTTTTGGGCTAATAATGAGCGAGCAATAATTAAAATTTTATTAGGAGCTATTTCTAGTTAATCAAAATCTTCAGCAATAAAAATAATTTTGAACTCAAAATATATTATTTCTCTTAGTAGCCCGGTATTAAACGCAAAGCAGAAGCGACGAACATCTTAGGGCTTTGATTTTCGATTATTTCGTGCAGTGTTCGAAAGTAATTAGTAATAAATTACGGAGACTGGTATTTGAAGGAAAAAGAATTTTGGTAGAGAAAATCACAATTTCGAAGAGAAACAACTGTGAACTGAAAAACCAAACCAAAGAATATTTAATCCTAATTAAACAAAATATTGGTCTTACCTGGAATGAAGAGAATGTTTGGTCAATGTAGAGCCAAACAATCTCCAATGTCTGGTTGACACTAGCAGGCAAGCTGACGGTCAGCAGCAGTGCGTAATGGACTCCAAACAAAGGAACCAGCACTAGAGTGGATTTGAACCATTTTCTATAGTAAGGATAAAAATTAGAAAGGTTGATTAAACCTGTTGAGCCATTAGCTTTTTCTGAAGCAGGAGACGTGCAAAATGCGCAGTGCCCTCGCCGTCACTCTAAACTTGGACGGATAGAAAATGCGTCGAGTATGGAGAAAGGAGGGAGAAAAAACTTATATACTCCCCCTTTTAAAGCACGCCCTGCGATTAGGGGACCTAGTTGCCAAATCCTAGTGGTAACGAATTATCTGCCACCACTTTTTATCTAAGGCGCCACTTGTAGAGTCTGTAAGAATTTTTACAACTAGAAGCACGCAACTAGAAGTGCAACTAGTGCACGCAACGACCGTGCTTCTAGTTGCAAAAACGAAGGTATGCGGAAAGGAGGGAGAAAGTACCTTTTCTAGTAAAGTACTTTTTCACCTCAAACGACTAGTGCACTAACCACTCTCGGCAATTTAAAGTCAAAATATGTACCATTATATAAAATATGAAAATTCTAATGAAATAAAAAGAGTTTGAAAGCTTTTATAAGGTATTTCTCCCGCCTTCCTAGCGTGCCTTTGTGGTGTAGTGGTCTGCATGCTGGGCACGTATTCCAGAAGTCCGTGATTGGATTCGGGGCGATGCGTTGCTCATTTTTCATCTCTCCTGCTTCTAAATACCTAATATCTCTAAGTGGCGCCCGAACTAAAAAGGGTGGCGGATGATGATTTTCCACACCCAGGATTTGGCGATTGGGTCCAATAAAATTCCAGTCGCCCTTTAAAAAGGGGGTTATATAAGCTATTTCTCCCGCCTTATTAGCGTGCTTTCGTGGTGTAGGGGTCTGCACGCTCAGCGCGCAATTGAGAGGTACGCGGTTCGATTCCCGGCGAAGACATTGCTCATTTTTCATCTCTTCTGCTTCAAAAATACCTAATGTCTCAAAACTTTCAGATTTTACATTTCGCCAAAGGGACGTTTTCTTAACGTTATGTGTGTTACTTTTATTTATTAAATATCATGTTATTTGTACTTAAACCATAAAATTCAGATCAACAGCAATATCGAAAATAATTTTAAAATGAGCATAGCTTTAGAATTTCCGATGCACAGTCTTGGCTGCTAGAGATAATTTTTTTTTTTTTTTTTTTTTTTTTTCGTATCGTATTGCCATTCCTCGCTTTGAAATCGTTGAGTTTGTTAATCAAAAATTCTTTAATAGCTGAAAAAATTTGAAACAGGTAATAAAACAAATTCCAAATTAGGGCTTCCAGATGTCCGTGTTCGGTGGAGGATAACGCTATTCAAAATTTGGCTCTAGGTACCGTTGTTTTATCACAATGCGAGAAAGATTAATTTCTTTAAATATAATACAGGACTGTAATGGTTGGTGGCAACAGTTTGAAAAGTGAATGAACGCAGAAAGCGAATCAATGCAAAATGCCAAAACGAAATTAATAGCCATTTTCGGCTAAAGCTCTTTGGGCTAATAATTAAAATTATTAAAATTTTCGGTGTAACTGCTCAATACGTAAGAAAGTGCACTTTAAAATATTGTTATGTTTTGTGAAATATGATTTATACAGTTTGATTTAACTGAAGATTTTTTTTAAATGCTGAAGAAAATGTTCATTGAATTAAGAAAGATGATTTTGATTAGATTGCTGCAAGTGGTAATAGCAACAACATAGTAAGTTTTTGAAAGGACATAAATTAGTTGTTAAAATAATGAATTTTTTTGGTTCGAATGAAACATAAACAAGTTACGATAAGGGAAAACAAGAAAACTTGCATATTGCAACCAGTTCACCAAGATTCGAACTACTGCATCCGCTCATTCATTGGATGTACATTTTTCTGTTATTCATTGGTTTAGTTATCTGAATATGGCAAAGCACACGAGTACTATTTGCCTAAGAGAAGGTTTCCTTTCTTGGAAGATTTTCAAGGGAAACTGGTTCGCATTGACATTGCATTTGGGGACAACCACACAAACCATCTATGTACTCAGCCGGTTCACGTGAAATCCCTCTCTGAATTCTGATGTCTTAGCCACTGGTGGAACTTTTTATTATTGAAGAGTATAGGTTTTTCTTTAGTTCAACTAACCTATTATTCAAATTTTTATTATCTTTTCTGAACTCCTCAAGTTCTCCTCGAATTTGGTCGCAGGATGTAAATTTCATGAATTTTCAGTGAAGTATGTATTTAAACGGAGGAATCTTGAAGTTTATTCAGAGCGTGTTTTCGCTAGCTAGTGCACGTTTCGTTTCTAACCTTGCTGTTACGCTGATGCCCCTCTTGGCCATTTTGATTAATTATCACGCCTGTTAGGTTTGTCGAGTCACAGCCGTAACTTAAAGTGCTAAACCAGCACTAATCTTTTTTGATTTGGATTTATTGTATTACAAATTCTTAATTTCCACTGCAGTTGTCAGTATTATTGTAAAGCGCGAAGTATTTGCTTTTCTGTTCATAGTTGAGAATAATAAAGATTTCACCCTTCTTCTGTGCTGACATTATTTCATGCCTGTGCGAGAAGTCGCCAGGTTCAATTATAGGATCTAGGTTAGTTTATGTGCACAAGGACAGATAGATTCTATAAGAGTTATTATTGATTTTGCAATTATCATAATCACCATCATTGCTAAGTCACTAACAGTTCATTGGATAATGCCTGTATATATAGATAATTCATGCCGGGTCCGCTTTCTTGGGACCCTTTGCTGCATGGAGGTTTTGTAATTATTCCGATATGGAAATGGATGTGAACTAGTTCCCCTTAAAATGTCTTTTTCGAAGTTATACATTCTAAGATAGATAACACTTGCTTACTTGTTTGGTAGTTCTCTAAAAGGGAAACTTGACAACGATACTAAAAGTTTTTAACTGACAAACAAGTTACTACATAAAATACTCATCTCCAAAGTATTTCTTTTCTATTATGCGCCATATATACACTGAGCTGTGTATCATAATGAATTTACATTTGTTTTCTAATCAAATAATTCTACTATTGTAGGCTTAAAATAATAAAAATTACATGTTGATTTCAAAGTACAATAATAATTTTCTGTGTATATTTTTATGTCATGTAACCAAAAATATATAATTTTATAATTATTTACATTATTTTATTAATATCATTTTACGTTCAAGAAAGAAGTGCAGAAACAATCACTGAAAAATTAGAACCTTATATTTACCTTATAAGGTATTTCTCCCGCCTTCTAGTGTAGTGGTCAGCACACTTGATGCGTACTTGAGAGGTTTGTGGCTCGAGACCCAGCGAGGGCATTGTTCATTTTTCACGTCTCTCAGCATCAAAAATCCTAATGTTTCTACAATCCTTTTAGTTAAAATTCAGTTTTATTCGACAATATTTAGTTTTGCGAGTCTCAACAGTAAATATAATGTTTATTCCAGAAAAGGAGAGAGGTGTTCGCGCGATTATCTTGAATGCTAAAATGTTGAATACCTAATGAACGTCAAGCAATCAAAGCAGATTAAATCTTCGTTTTTATTTCAATTGATATTTGTAGCCACAACTTACTTGGCACTCAAATGGTGCCTATTCAAGAACATAACACACACATATAAAGAGAAACCTAGTAGTATCCCAAAAATTATATTTCAATAATTATATATATATATAATATTTAAAAGCTTTAATGCTAAACTGTTTTCTGGATTGTAAAACTATAATCTTCAGGTGGAAAGTTAACATTTTCCTTTTCTCCTGTGTGTATGGACTGTTTTTTTTTTTTCATTTTTAACTTCGAAACTGTGTACCAACAATGGGGTCTCTGAACCCTTTCATTGGAATTCTTTATGTACACATTTTCGTACGCGGAAGATGCGGCTGTATATCAAACGGGACTTAATAATCCCTCTGATGTGAAACTGCAGAAGTTTATGACATCGCTGAACGACTTCAACGGGGTGTAATGGCTCCTATTTATCGCAATGAATCCCCAGTGTACCACTCGCTCTCCCAGAGAAACTGAAGTCTAATAACCAATCGATCTTCGCTGCGGGGACTCTCGCAGAATACGAAATCGTCAAAGATAGGAAAACATTTCTTCGCAGTGTTTATAAGGCTACAAACTCGACGCAAATTTTAAATGAAGATAGCGATTTCCCAAATGGGGCTGCACACTTAAACTTCTGATGCAAGAATAAAGATAAGCAAAATTCGAGAATAAAATGTATAAAGGAGTGGTAGTCTAAAAATAATCGGAGTTACTCTTAAGCAATTGCATTATTCTTTGGATTTAAATATTTTAAATATTTCATTTTAAAGTGTTCTCTGCCAATATCGATACATTTTCTCTGACGTTTCTCCTACTGCTGGGGATACGGAAATAGTTATGGAACTTGAGGCGGACTATTATTCAAGGCGTGCAAGGTACTTTTTTAACCTCATCCGCCCCATTGACCTTCTTTTTGAGAATGTTCTTTATCCATGAAAATAAAAAATGTCGTATTGAGCAAGAAGTATTGGTTAGTAATGTGAGTGAGTAACATGATATTTTTCGCCAAGAATTAATGAACGGAAAGAGTTTCATCAAATACCTAGCAAATGGTCTTTCGACGATCTTAATTAGCAACCTGGAACAAAGCTTTCACAGATCTTCAATTAAAGGAGACTAATTCGTGCTATTCTGCATCTGACATACTACTTTTTTGGTATCTAGGAAAAGCGCTTATACACTTGTGATGTAAAGGTTGCCAAAGGTAATGATGGTTTCAACTGCAATTTTTTGCAAGAAAAAATATTCCAGCTGTTTTTTTCTTTATTTTGCACTGCCTAGAAATGGTAGTATGCTGCGAGCAAAACACTCAGCGATCAGGACGAATACAACTATACTCAGATTGTCAAAGATATGCCAGAAACTCTGAGTTAACAAGACCTAGCGGCAGGATTTATAAAAAAATTATCTCTTTCTGTGTAGTCATAATGTTATTTAATTTGCCCCTACACACACACATATATATATATATATATATATATATATATATATATATGCACTGTACATTCTGGTGTATAGAGCGCACTTTTAACACAAAAATAAGATCGAAATTTACGAATGTGCAAGATATAAAAATGAAATTAAAAATACGGAAAAACCCAACATAGAAACATTAGTTTAAAAAAAATTAGTTAGCAATTTTACTTATATTTAAATTTCGTTTGTTTAAAAGAAATGACATGCCTTGAAGACCAAATTTTCTTTATCGGATTACATGAAAAGTTCTCAAGAACGTCATCTTAATCTGTTTCATCTTCACATTATTGTTACTCTAATCCATTAATAAATAATTGCCATCCTTTCCATCTTTCACCAACACCAAACGTTCTTGCTGCAGCACGATTTTCCTTTTTTTTCGCAAACTGAAAGACTTTGCGTCTTACTATAGGACTTAATAGTAAGAATCTTGAGCCTTAAATTGCAACATTTATTTCTTTTTCCTCTTCTTATACTTCAGAGGATGGATAACATTATAAATTAAGCAAATAAAAAACAAATTTAAAGATAATAATTTGAAGATAAAATTTACTATATCTTATACATAAATTGTAAAATTTTTCTTTTACTTCTTACTTCAGAAATAATACATGCGGTTTAATTTTCCATCTCTTTGATTTTTCAGGAATAAAACTAACGTAGGAAAGGGAGCGGCAGTAATTGTTACACTGCAAAATCATTTTTATGCGTGTTATTTGCGAAGTTACTGGATTCGATGGAGGCAGTGTTCACGGGCGCAGTGCTTTTTACAATTGGAACATGAGATTTTATTTATACGAGAAAGAACGAAAACTCTTACCTGTATCTATATCGACGGCTCTGAATGGCTTGCGATGAAAACATTTTCAAGAAAAGAACTCTCGTGATGTTGATGAAGAAGAGTAAGTTCAGCTGTAATAAAAATGGCGAAAGTATGTTATTGATAGAAAGATAAATGAAGAAAATATACATGGGGCGTGCAAGATATACCATATGTTTTCTCTTACCACTATTGATGCAGTAATGGGCCCACGAATGATCCAGAAATAATATGGGTTTACATTAACTGTCCAGCACCTGAAACGAAGATTTTATAATCTTTAAATGCACAGACAATGCATTGTATATGCCATTTAATGAAATTAAGTTTCTGTGTAACAAATCCAGTGCAAATTTACTTATATATTGAAAATATTTGGAAAACAATGGTGCTATACTCACTCGTTATCTTCGAGGGTCGCTTTCACTACAATCCATGGAATGACGAACAAGAGAGGCAAGCCTGCGAAATGGAAAAGAAATTGAGCCACGAATCGATAACAAGCATTTATAAGAGGTCAAAAGATAAGTAAACTTATAGAAGGCTTGGCTTTGGAATTGTCTTCCCAAATTCTTTCCCAAATTTTCTAATACTGTCATTTCCTAAACTATTTGTTAAATACGTAGTTTTCCCTAATTTCTTGTTACTTGAGATTATGCGTCAAGTCAGAAAATTGTCTAATTCGGTGCTTCCCAACATGGTCCCCCAGAGATCCACATGGTCCACATGGTCCCCCAGAGATAGAGAGGAATTTTGAAGAGAACCAACTATATGACCAAAACTTAGATTTTGGGAGTTAATAATAATAATAAAATATAATAATATCACACAAAAGTCCAGAAATTCTCAAGATACTCATATTTCCTGGAACTTTCTTTAGTTAACGCAGAAAACCTTTATCCATAGAAAAGTCTCGAAAAGAAATCACCAACTAATTTAGGAACTATAGTAACTATCAGTCGATCAGAGATAGTTGTTTCAATTTAAAAGTGTGTAACTGGTATTGTTGCAGTGAAATTTATTGCTTCTGTTATTGAAAGATTTTACTGTTATTGATCTGTTATTGAAAGATTAGTGTACAACGTGTTTCCATAACTACTTACAAGCATTGGCGACTCCTGATATGAGCAGCTATACAACTGAAACCTTCGGTAAAATAAAATAAAAATATTAATCCTCAGTCCATTTTTTAAATTATATATATTTTTACCTTTTATTTTACTAACCTTTTTTTAATTCTCAAACTTTCATGCTTAAAGCTGAAAATACTTGTACAAATGACAAATATTAAAATTACTCCCACAAAATTTGATTCAAATGTTAATATGCTAATATCAAAATATCAGCCACAAAGATCCCATTATTAGATTTATATGTGTACGAATTCGTAATGTATTAAATGCACACGATACCGATGATAGCTTGACAAAATTTATTTTTCCGAAATAAACACTTAACAGTTCTGGAATTTATCATTAAAAGTACTCGTATAGCTCTTCTCAGTATGACAGAGCGCAATCAGTAGTCACCACTTCAGACGACTAAAAACGTTAAACACAATGCAATGCAAAGCGAATCTAAAAAGCAAAGTTCGAACTGAAATCTCTCAACACTCTGTACTCAACTAAACTGATTCTTTCTCCTGTCTAATATTGTTTCCCCCCCCCGGCCGCCAAGAAATTTGCAGTACCTTCGATTTATCGAAATTACTGGAAGGCATACACAGTTATAGTTGCATAAGGCCGGGTACAATTACAGTTACAAAGGCCAGTTACTGTTAATCCCCAGTTTATGGTTTAATGTGTACTCGTAATTTACGGTTCAACATTCCCTATCACGATCAAATATTGCAAATTCATGGTACAAAATACTACCAAGCAATGGTTCAATCGAAGCACCAAATAACGGAACAACGTTTCAGTATATTTTGATTGCAATAATTTTATTAACTAATTTGGTGAAATCTTTGACCAAAATTTTAACAGTATAGGTAGTCATTATTTATACTCAGTTTTGTGTCATTTGGAAGGTTTTCATAATTTATTTATTCTGAGTAAGTTACTTAGTGGCTAATTTAGCACATTAAAAGAAACTGAAATAAATGTGTAGGGAAATTTATGTTAATAAACCAGCTGTTTATAAATTCAACCTTTACTATAAATTCTTTTCAAATTCCTCACCAGAATGCAATGGAGTAGTCAGGATTTAAACTGAGGTTTCTCGATTTTAAGACAGAGAATGTTTCTGGTATACCGTGCGCGCTGTGTTATTAGTATCCTGCCAGGTCTGTTAGCTGTAATTATTTGGCTTTGCGTTTTATCGCTCCCGGCACTTTAATTCTGATGCTCCGATAGAGTAAGGGAGCCAGCTCCTAGTAGTACCTAATTGTATAGTCCTTCACTACTGTTCAGCATTTGAATTAATTTGAACTATTCTGTTTTATTTGCATAACCTAATTTGTGGAAATTGTAGCACAAGAAAGTGACCGTATGTTCTAATTTCTGTTTAAATAAAAATATTAGTTTATGTCTTCTCAAGGCTTTATATTTGTTCTCAGACGTAGTAATAATTCGCCTCACGTCTGTTAGGGTTATAGGACTAATTTAGCAATATTTAGTTGTCAGCATGTGTGAAGTACAAAAGTGTAATCAACAGAAATGTCTTGCAGCTCTTACTCTTTCAGACAAAAAATAAATGTAAACTGGAATTTTTTCATTTCCGTTATTATTATTCCTGTTTATACATGTTTTGATAAATATGTTTAGTAAATAAAATTTCAAATTTAGTTAGCAAATTTCTTTTGTTAAGAAACATTTTTTTGATTTTGATTTAAAAAAGATCTGGCCAGTTAGCTGTTTTCATATCACGCTTTCGGCCCGCATGCGATCTGAGTTTGAGACTACCCGTCTATTGATATAATAATTGCTTGATTTTTTGGCTATTATCTCAAATTTGTATTTTTTATTTTAATTCGAATTTATTCCCGATATAATTTTAAACTTTCGAACTTAGCAGTTTACTTTTCACCAAAAGTAAACGACTATTTGATTATAAATACAGATTATTAACTGTTTTCTTATATTCTTTATTTCGTCACTATGTTTAAATCAACGCATTGAAAGTAGACTTGCGAATTTATCCAGATACTTGATTTCTTAGAGCTTTCCAATCAGAAGCGAATCCGAATTTAGTGTAATATTCTAAATTTTAGCAAGATGATAAAGGGTGCACTGCTTCCCCTCCCTCCCAAGAGAAAATAACGTTATAGAATTTTAGAATTTAAGTAGTAATGAAGTTGATGAGTGTCAAAAAATGCAAACAGATTACACGCCACTATGATATCATCTTTTATGAACATTATCTTGTTTATTAAATCTGGAATGTATTTCCTGCTGATGACCGTGTTCTTTCATATGCCTCACAAAAATTATGGGCAAGAAAGAAAGAACTCACCCCAACCCATCAGGCCATATTTGAGGATGCCTGTCGTGTCTGTGAACATGGAGAGGAATACCAGGTTGTGGAGATATAGTCCTTCCATTAAAATCCAGCAGTAATTGGCGGCTAGGCAGTACTGCCAGATACTCGTCAGACTCTTGCAGACGATACTGTCCTGAAAAAATGCGATTCAATAAATATCTAAATAAAAGGACATTCACGATATAAGTAATACATAGAGTTAGAAACAACTAACAATTTTAAAAAATTTCTATAACACTAAAAATTTTCACAGAATATTTTTCAAAACGTTTTGGACATAATTTAATTAAAAATAAATTAAATTCATGTTCAAAAATTCAACACTAAAATTTGAACATGTGTTTAATTTACGCATGTCGAAAATTTTCATTTTGATCACACGGTAAATTAAATATGTATTTAAAATTATAACAGTTAGCAAAATAAATTTAAGGCGACTGTAAAAGATGTTGGTTACGGTGTGACATAAGGCTTGTCAGTTATTAGTCAACGATCCGCAGTTTAGGTCGCGAAATGAGATTAAATAGATTATTAAAATGAAATTAAACTTACGGGCATCGATGATCGAGATAACTTTTGTTGTCACCGGTCAAATATTTTTCTGCTGCCTATAAGTAGTTACTTTACAGATAAGCGGCGTAAGGAAATGCAACAAATTTAGCTAAAGAAATTAAAATGTACTCAAACAGCATTAGACGATGAGCGTCAGGACAGATAAAGATGACCTACTAGAAACTAACGTGGTATAACAAGTAATAAATGTGTCATGTAACTGTTTCATAATCTGCCAGATTTTAACTAATTTTTAAGTAGCAGGCCCGTGTAACCACAGCCAACTCTATTACGGCCTTGAGAGCAGAAGTCAAATGATTTGGTGTAGTACAGGGCTTCTTAAACGTTTTTCAAGTCGCGACCACTTTTTACCACTCAGACGTTTTTCGCGACCCCAGGACCGCATAATATTTACGAAAATTTGTGGGACCCCATAAAGCATTGCGCAAATTCAACACACGCGTGAGTGAAACCGTCAAATTTTCACTTGCACTGTAATATACTACTACAGTTTTAAGTCATTAACTTTAATTTATAATTTTAATACATAGAATAATGTGAAAATTTTAATTAAATAAAGGACGAAATGACAGCGTCACGTGCAAAGCAAGTAAAATGAGCTTTTATATTATAAAAGGAATGCGTCGAAACGTTTTTTTTTTCTTTGTCTGTATTATCTTATCTTTATCTATTTTCAAATACGTTATGTAAAAATATTTGGTAATTGTAAAATTATTATAATAAGTTAAAGAAATATCAAAACTGATAAAATTTTAACCTAAACTACTAACCGTATGGGTCGCGACTCACAGTTTAAGAAACTCTGGTGTAGTACATTAGGAATTCTTTACTTTGTTTAAAATATTTCTTTCTAATATCATATTTGAATACAAAATACCTCAACATTGTAGTACATTTGGTTGCAAATCTAATTACGGCAAAAACTGGTATGTGGCTACTTATTCTTTGCCTAAATTATAAGAAGAGTGCACTGCTAAGATAGCTTCAGCCCACGAAGGTGAACCAAACGAAATTATATACCGTCATAGCTTGGAAAATCCCCAAAGTTACTGTGGTAATAAATATTATGTTGGTTGTGGTGGCAAACGTATATGTCACATGTTATGATAAACAGGAATATAGTGGCAACTTACCCCAGGACAATATCCAGGTCTATAGCCCGCCGTGACGAGAGAGTGACAAACACGTGAAAACAGATTTAATTCTTGTTTTATTGGATACCAACAATACTGAAGAGATATTCCATTTTTTTTGTAATCCGGTATGTCACATGACGATATGAGGCCTCCTCACTCAGAACAAAAAAAGATAGATCAATTCTTCCACACAGCCCCTCGAAGACTTGATGTATTTCAGCTCAAACACATGCAGGTACTCTTCATCGGGATGCCGGGCGAAAATGCCAAGCCCGGGAAAAAAGGAGATTAGCTTAAATTTTGCAGCTACAACATCAAAGAGAAAGAAAATCACTTCCTTCATAGACACTGGGAGACCAAAGAAAGCTTGCACGATAAACTCCCACAAGTTTGCATTTTTACTCCACTCTTACTGTCTTTCTCTATGCAGCATCTCCATCTCGCACCTTCACAATCTCCTTCCTCCTCCTCACCTTCAGGTGAACAAAAATTACCGCCTTTTATAAAGTTCCACAGTTACGTTTTGCCGCCAATGAAAAACAAATCCAGCGTCAGAAGGCAACCAATCACGCAAAATACCTTCAGCTACTCCAGGCAAACAGAAGTGAAGACGCTAGTTGTCTGATGCACAACTTTCCTCCTCTTACAACAATTGTCTGATGCAATACTTTCTTCCACTTACAACAGTTGTCTGATGAAATCTGTTCCTAACCTTACAACACAAGTTGGCGAAAAAAATGAAACTGTCACCAAAGGAATCCGATGCAAATATCTAAATATTGCCATAACGTAGTAAATAATTAATTCAATGTGACCTCGTCACAGTTACCATATTGAATACTGTGTACTAATAGCAGTTTCTATATTTTACACTTTCTGTCCAAAATTATTTCATATTAATTATAGACTGAGTACTGATAAAATTGCTTAGATTTATACTTTATGAAAACAATCCCTGCTATTCTATGATACACTTACCAGTAGTTCGGGAATTATTTAGATCGATAACTGCAGACTCCAAACATTATCCTGATCATCTGCTTTAAATTCTGATCTTTTCAAACAAGCTAAATTATAAGCTTTTCAAAGAAGCGTATTATCTCCCGTCTTTCTGCATGCCTTCGTGATGTAATTTGAAGCAGGCTCGACGCGTACTCGAGATGTCCAGCGTTCGAGTCACGGTGAAGGCAATGCAGGTTTCTCATGACTCCTGCTTTAAAAAAAATGACAACTCTACAAGTGGCGCCTGAACTAAAAGGTGGTGGACGATAAATCGTCATCACAAGATTTGGCAAATGGGTCTCCTAAGTCCCAGTCGTCCTTTAAAAGGTAGAGTAGATAAGGGTTTTTTCACCCTCATTCCCATATGCCTTCAAAGTGTAATTGGAAGCATATTCCAGGCGTATTCGAGAGGTCCAGGGTTCGAATCCAGGGAATGGCATTGTATATTTTACCCTGCAGCTTCACACCTTTTGTGCATCCGCGATGGCGAATGAATACATTCTTAAAAACTAATCTGTACGTCGCCTAACATCATCGTTTATATTTCAACCAATCGACACGTTTGTTTATTGCAAGGGAAAGTAGTTCGCCTGCATATCTGCTTGTTCAGACAGTCATTTCTACGATTCCTGATTCTAAGGTCTCCTTTTGTTTTGAATTTTCGGACTTTCCTACTGGAACGTTTCTCATGGTATTGTATGTATAGTAATTTCCACCAGGGGATTATCTGAGGTGCTGGAAATAGCATAATATATTTAATGATGACGACGGCAAAAACGAAAGTATCAGAGTATCATTCCTATCCTTCGCAGTTCGAGTGTGGACGTTATTTTTACGTTATGATTTTCTGTGCAATTTTGTTCTTCACGATATCTGCCAAGCAAATTTATTCAACATCGGCATGCCTTTTTTTTTCTGTTTTTAATTGTTACCATTTTTTATAAACAATTTTTGCTTCTTCTTGAATGTTTTATTTATTAAAATGTTTAATTTCTCAGACTCTATTTAACGACCTGGAATTCCCCATGCGAGGATCTGAGAGCGATGCTAAGTTTATTTATAATTTTGCACACGTATTTTCTGCGCAATTATTAGCCGAAAGAGCGTTAGCACAGAAGGGCTATTATTAATTTCGTTTTGGCGTTTTGCGTTGAAACCTTAAAATGTCGGTTCATTTTTCAAATTGTTGTCACCAAATATTATCGCCCTGTGTTATATTTAAGAAAATTAAATAATGAAGAATCTACATAAATGTATATATGTTTCTCGCATTGTGATAAAACCACGGTGCCTAGAGTCATCAAATTTTGAATAACTTAAATCTTCCACCGAATACGGGCACCTGGAAGCCCTAATTTGGAATTTGTTTTACTATCGATTTCATATTTTGTAACACTTCAACGAATTTTTGGTTTACAAACTCAACGATTTCAAAGCGAGCAATAGAAAAACTGTGTGGAAAAAAAAAAAAAAAAGAAAAAAAAAAAAAGAAAAAAAAAAAACATTTTATCGCCAGCGCGCGAAATTGTGAATTGGAAATTCTAAAGATATGCTCATTTTAAAGTTATTTTGAGATATTGCTGTTGAATTGAATTTTATGGTTTTAAGTGCAAAGAACATCATATTTAATACATAAAGGTAACACACAGACGGTTAAAAGAAGTTCCTTTGGGCGTAATGTAAAAAAGCTGCAAGCTTTCAGATTTATTTTTGTTTTCAAATTTACTTTTTTTTTTTTTTTTTTTTTTTTTTTTTTTTGTTTTTTTTTTTTTAGGTTTTTTTTTTTTTTTTTTTTCATGTTATTTTTCATTTTGAATGTATTCTATTTAATTTTTATAGTTGTTAAATGAAGGCGATCAGATCTTTCTGAAAACGTTAATGATTATGAGAATTAATTTGACTATAATTATAACTTACGACTCTGACATACCACTGTGATTATGAACCTGCATATTCTTTTACTTGGGCCTATGACTATAATATCAGTATGCGAATATATGAATATATCACAATTGTGTCATTATTTATGACTCGATCATGAGACTATTAAGTGACCATTTGACATTTTTGTCCGACTTAAGTATTATTTTAACAATGTCTTAAGGTATCATAAATTTGTTTCACCATTACGTGAATCAAAAACTCGTATGTGATTAACATGCATAAGGATGTATAACAATATATTCAACATGCATATGGATGTATAACAATATATTAATGTATCACAAGTACGTCGTTATTACATGATTTAATCAGGAGAGTATTATGTGATTATGTGATAATTTGCGATGTGAAATAAATTTGTGACGTGATTATGTGACATCATATAACATTTTGTGATCAAGAAACTGTTACGTTATTATATATAACAACATATGAAAGACATAAGTATGTCAATATTACGTGACTTATCCATAAATCT